GTGCTGCCGGAGCCAGGCGCGTGCTGGGCTGCGGGGCGGAGGGGAGCTCGGCTCGCGCCGCGGCGCTCCCGAGCGCTTGCAGAGTGATGCGATGCCCTGTGTTTCTCGTGCCTTTTTGGCCTGAGGGCCGTGAGCCGGTTGCATGCGGGGCGCCGGACTCGGCTTTTGCTTGCAGCGGGTTGGGCTGTGGATAACGCCCGGAGCGTGCAGGCATCACCTGCCGCCTGGGGGACCGGGGCTGGCCTTGGTGCCTGGTAAACCCGAATTGCTCTGGGAGCGTTGCAGTCTGTGGGATGTCTTGGATCCAGCCTGAAGCAACCTGAGGTCCCCAAATCCTTTAGCAATTGGGAACGCGGACCCTCACGTCTGAGACTCGGGGCCTCCTCCTCCCACCCAGTGCTGCCACGGGAACTTTGTGCTTGCTTTGGTTTGGGTTTGGCTTAGAAACGCCGTTTTGCACGTGACGACACGGTGAAGTTCAATGCAGGGAGCGGCTCCCTCTCCTGCCAGGCTGTTTGCGGCTGCAGCGGCAGCAGTGTGGCTGGAAATGGCACGAGCTCACCAGCTCCGCATCAAGCAGCAACCGGGCTTTGCCCACTGCCGGGATCGTCACCCATGCAGGCAGGGTTCCTCCATCCAGCAAAATGTCCTTTCTTTTCAGCAGCTCTGCAGGTTGCGTAGAGCAATCCAGTAGACTAGCTCCATAAGCAGTTGCAAAGAGAAAAACTTTTTTGGTAGGGAAAAGTAAGGTAATTTTAGTCCTGGTGCTAATAGTCCTGGTCCAGACTATTCTGTGCAGGGCTTGAGAAGATGGGATTGTTATGGTCTTTCTGTTCAAACTGAAGCCTTGGTGATAATTAGCCTTTAAAGGATATCTGGAGGAGCTTGGCTTCTTGATTCTCAGGAATATTTATTTTTAAAGCTTTCCTCGTGTTTCATTTAGCTGCTTATAGTCAGCTGCCTGCTCCTATCACCAGAGCGGGTATCCAACACATAAAGGAAACCTCCCTGAGAACAGCAAAACTCTTAAGCCCAGCAGTACCATCAAAGTCCTCTTACTGTAGTGTGCAAATACCAGCAAGGTGCTACTTTATATTATATGAAAATAACTAAGAAGTGCGGTTGTTGCAGTGCTGCTGCGTTCGCAGCCCAGGTCTGGCGGAGGGCTCCGGCTGCACCCACCCAGCAGGGCCTGGCTGAGCCCAGGCAGCTCGGTGCTTGGTGTGCCGGCTGAGCCCGGGCGCCCCTCGCAGCTTTGGGGACGCCTCATGGAGCGGGGGAGCCAGCCGTACAGAAACGATACAGGTGAGGCGGTGCAACCGGTGCCCCTGGGGAAACGGAGGAGGCTCTTGTGCTGCAGCATCGGGGTGAGCAGGTGGAGCGGTCTCAATGTGCTGCAAATACAAGCTGGGAGCAAGCAGAGTTTTCTCAAGAAAAGAAGTCAGTCCTTGGTATGGGTTAGGCAACAGAGAGGTAGTTTGCAGACTGAGAAGACAATTAATTTGCAAACTAGATCAAGTGTGGTAAAGACTGGAAGAGGGGAGACCCTATCCCTGGAAGGTGCTGCTTGGCTAATAGGAAGCCACTGTGAAACGCGGCATTTGGGCAGGATAAGACAGTAGAGCAGATGAAACCCTTCTCTCTGCCCTGCAAGTGATATTCCTTCCCCCTTAACGCCTCTCTGCATTTCCTCCACAGCTGACTTAGGTAGTTTTCCATAGATTTAGTGGCTTATTGGGTCTTACAGGGCCAGCTGTGCCTGGTTGGTCTCAGAAACTGTAAGCTCTTATGCCTAGTGCCTGGTTAACAGACACGCCAAGGAGGCAAATATCTCCAGCACTAAAATGACAATTTGGCTCTGACCATCAGTCCTCAGCTGGTGTGTGGAAAGTGACTGCAATGACAGAAGCTAGGTCTGCACAGTCAAGAAAGTAAAACCAACAAGGAGCAGCACAGATGTACAAAACAGCTCAAGTTTATTTTCAACCTTATTCCCTTCACATAAATTACCCCTTTCCAGAACAGAAGACTTGCACCTTTCCTTATCCCATAGACATGCAGCTCAGTAATCAATGGGCTCGGAGCAGTATCCCCAGCAGCCTCCTATCTGGAAGTGATCTCTCAGCTTGCAGACACCCAAAAGAGAGATCAGGCAGCAAAATGCAGCAGCCTGCTTCCAGCAAAGATGAGAAGTAGCAGCGTTCTGCTCCCTTGGCCTCCCCTCCAAGCCCTCCGGCTCTTGCTGAGCATTGCGCTCAGTGGTGGCCGCCCTGGTTTCTCTCAGAGGGGCGGCACACCTCTGAATTTGCGGATGATGTTGGCCAGCCGCTTGGCCAGCCCTCCCCTGGTTGGCTCTTCCACGTGAAATGTCCTGGTCAGCAGGTTGTAGAAGGAGCCATAGCACACTGCCACCACGGTGCAGGTCAGGCAGATGACGTTATAGGGCATGCTGAAGTCTGGCGTTGGCAGGTTCACCAGCAGCGGCTCTGTGTAGAGGCGCACAAAATAGCTGGAGCCATCAGAGGAAGGAAATCTAGAGGCAGGAAAGGGAGTGTCAGCCTGCACAAGACCACTGCTTCGCACTAACCACCTTGGAGCTACGTGAACCTCTGGAGGTGCTTATACCCTCTTAGAGGTCGGGCTTTCTCCGAGAACTCTGAATCTCTCAGGAGATCCATGGGAGACGCTGCCAGTGCTGAGAAAAAAGAGCACGTGCAGGAGGAATGCAGTTCAGGCACACAGCTATCCCAGCCCAAGGGCGGAGGGTGTAGAGAGTTAAACTGGCAGCTCCCTCCTGGCAGCTCCCCTTGTGAGGGCCCCTGTGCTGCTCTTTCCTGGCACGCTGAGAACATCCTCCACTAACTCCCCAGTGACTCAAGTGTCTCTGTAGGCTGGCAAAGCCCAGATGAGATGGTAGCTGCAGCCAGCCCGTGTGCGCTGCAGGACAACCCCTCTCCCCAGGCGGAAGGCACACTCACAGCGTGGTGAAGAGAGGACTCTGCTCCATGTCCGCGTCCTTCATTGCAATGACACTGGGCACCAGGGCG